TTACAGCTAAGACTGTTTATACCAGAAGATTATCACGGGAGCTCACTCCATTACGCGGCACTAGGGATTCGAACCGTCGAACTGCTGACCTTTCTGATCGACAACCTCAGCATCTTAGCCACTGAGCCACCACGTCCCACTAGTACCATACTACAAATAGTTAGTTTTAAAACAAATAGACATATTATATATACTCCTTGCTGCTATTTTTTTCCCCTGATAATCTTCTGGTATAAACAGTCTTAGCTGTAAGTTTCCTGTGAGATTGTAAAACTTAACACTTACTCCACTGCCAACAGTAATCTTTAATCGCTAACTAGCTTTGCTTCCCAAATACCTGTTGACACCATCGCTGATGCACTGAGGAAGAGCAAGGCTGCATCCAAACAGCATAATGTGTTGATAACAGCCGAGGCGTTTGAGATAACCAAAGAACTTGAGAAATTTTTCCATTTCAATGCTTCTCACAATGGAAAGAACTGATCTCAGAGTAGTCCGGTTATATGGCAGCATTTCACATTGGCTGTAGTTGATGTTTATGCACAAACCTGCAAAATAAGAACATATTCGTGATAGATACTAAGAGAAGGGCCTACTAAAATTGTAGAGAAGAGCAACAAAGATGATTAGGGGACTGGAGGCTAAAACATAATGTTAGGAATATAATCTAACGCAGTGATGTTGTGCGGTGAGGTTTATGGCTGGCGAGGCAGTCCTCTCCCCAGACGCCCCACTGACTGAAGCGCTTTCTTTCGCCCGTCTGAGCTCGCGGCAACCCGCCTGAGCTCTGTCGCAAGTTCAGGCGGGTGAAAGAAAGTGCTTTAGTCAGTGGGGTGTTGCGGGAGAGGAGAGAATGCCTGAGCATTGCATTTATTAAAGGAAAAAGAAAAAAAAGGAAATTTGAAGGAAAAGAGGGAGCGTGGGGTGGGGGGCATCAGAAACAGAGGAAGAGAGGAAGAAGAGTGAGCGCGACGCTGCAGCTTTAAAACAGAAAGACAGAGTTGAGGTCCCGCTGAATGGCCGAAAGGCACGCCGGCGCTTTAAAGTGCATGCCGCCGTGCCCCGCCATAGAGTGAAACATGTCCTGCTTTATGGCCGGGAGGCGTGCTGGCACTTTAAAGTGCCTCATGCAGGGCTGGGCAAGTCCCAGAAGACGGGCGGGAGATGGCGCAGGCATCCGGAGCCCCTTCGGTCACCATCCCTGAGGAGCCACCGCCGCTGCCTCACTCCTCCTCGTCTTCACCGCACGTCACTGAATCAAAGCGTCCATGACGTATCACAGAGTACACTGCAGAATAGATGCAGAATAAGATACCGCTTAATGTACCACAAATTTGCAGGTCTGTCATTGCTTCTTCCTTAAATAAGGGAGAAGTTATTTAATGTACTTCTAGCTATAATATTGGAAATTAGCCCTTATAGACACAGGGAAACGTTAAGGTAATAAAACTCAACAGCTGTAATTTGAATTTCCAAAGGTAACCATCTAAAACCTGTTCTATAAATATAATGAATGATGGGATCATATTCAATGTATGCTGTCACATCTGTTTCTGAATTGTTTTAATGTGATAATGTTACTTAAGGAATATATTTTGCAGTGTACTTTATATTTTGACTACTTAGGCAAGTATGTCTCTTCATATTTGAATCACTGCAGTGAATACATTCACACCAGATGTCTGTCTTGTTGGAAGAAAGAAAAATTTCAAAAAACAAAATACAAGAGTCTAATACTTTTCGTACATGAAAAATAAAGTCTGCAGAAGGAAACAGTTTGATACAGTGTGAGTTCATAACTCAGTTTAATCAAACCAATATCCACTATAGAAGTTCAAGAGCAAAACTGGATAAACTTTCCCCTAGGACTTCTTTGATCCCAGTTGGAGCAAAAGAAAATAGAAATGTTCTCAATGGGAAAAAAATATTGCCATGAGGTCTATTCTTTTGTTTAATTTTGTGCCAAAAGAAGATAACTATTCTCAAAATAGCTAAGCCTTTCAACCAAGAACAAAATAACCATTTACTATAAATGCATTAGTTATGGACCACCCTGAATATCTATAGTAGTAGTCTTAGTAGCTACTCCTAGTAGCTATAGTAGTCTTAGTATAAAATGAAATTCAAGGGTGAAAAGAGTAAGGTTCTACATTTCTACATTTAGGCAAGAAAACGAAATGCACCGGTACAGTATAGGTGGTACCTTGCTCAATAGTAGTAACTGTGAGAGGGATCTTGGAGTCCTAGTGGA